CAGGTCCCCGCGGGGGTGCCAGCAGCGACGGGCCCTCAAAGTTTGGTTTAAACGCGGAGGAGGGGTTCAGCGCCGGCTGCCCAGCTTCACGATTTAAACTTAGGCGCGGGTTTGGAGAACTCCTGTAAAAAGTGGGGAGTTAACGTAGTAAAATAATCCCGTAACGCGGAGGCGGGGGGGGGGAATATCCACAAAGGCGCGGAGTGTCCCCGCGGGGGTGCCAGCAGCGACGGGTCCTAAAAATACGGTTTAAACGGGGAGGGGTGTTGAGCGGCGGCTGCCCAGCTTCACGTGTTAAACCCAGGAGCGGGTTTGGGGAACTCCTGTAAAAAGTGGGGAGTTCACGTAGCGAAATAATCTCGCAGTGCCCGGAGTTACGGTTAATTGCTGTGATGAGTGAAGCCTTCTCATTACGACCCTCGGGCTCGTGATGTTCTCTCGCCCAGGCGGCGAGTAGCCCGACAAGGTAGCCCCCAGCGAAGGCTAAGACCGGCTGGTGCTTAAAGTGCTCCAGGATCTGCACCTACATTTGTCTTTTGAGAGCAGGGTCTAAATAACGTAGTATTCGGTGTGAAATAAAGCAAAATTGCCTTTGTAGTATGCATGTACAACAGGTAGTTAGAAATGGCATGAAAAAGTAGGTAAAAATCACAAAAAAACAGCTTCTGATAGAAAAAAAAATCCCACGTGTAGTGTACCGCAGGTTCCTAAGGCTATCAGAGGGTCTAATTTCTAAACCACTAATTCACATCTACTCTGAATTGACGCTGAGCAAATATTGGGACCATCTGATTGCAATAGCAGGGTCAGAGTGGGGGTTTTGATCAGCCTCCGGGTTCCAAAGCGTGGCTCCTTTATGAAGTGACATCCTTTACCTGCCCTCCATGCCCCCCTAAGAAAGGGAACATCAAAGCAGACCTAAACGCAGCAGGGGCTGATGGCGCGACGGTTCTCCTTGGGTTTCCTTTTTGCAATTTTGTGAGGTGGACATTGAGAATAAACCTGTTTCTACCTTGGGTACAATACTCGTTCACTGTTGTCTCTCCTGGGCCAGCAAAAATGGGGAGTGCTGTGATCTAACCAGTACAAAGCTCAGAAATAAATTTCAAACTGCCTTACATGCTTTTAATTCTTAAATCAGTTAAGCGGAGATTGAAACTTTCCTTGAAATAGGGCATTTTTCTTTACTATTCCTGTCTGCTTCTACCAACAGAAATATATTCAGAGAGCATCCAGTTGCCCTTTGCATACCTAACCAATCATGTTCTAGGTACTATATCAAACATACTAAATATCATACAAAAAAATAAAACGCATTAGAGTTCAACTTTGTGGGCCTTGTTGGTCATCTCTTTGTAAAGATCCATATTTTAATGAACTGTGACATGGGGATAAAGGCGGGAGAGGATAGAGTTCTAACCTGGGATTTAAGGCAGTAAGCTTCTCCTTCTGCATCTGCCAATAGCTGTTTGCAGAATCTTGAAAAAATCATGTAATCTTTCTCTAACATCTCCCTATTTGCAGGTGATTTAACTTTATTATCGTATAGAAGTGTTGTATAGGCTATATATTGAAGTGTGGATTCCAGATGTTTGTTACAGCAAGTGCATTATTAATCCAGAATCCTGAGGAGATGCATGCATATGTTGACCTTTCAGCCAAGATTACTCAATTTTAAAATCAAATGCATGTGTACATCTGTAGGATTGAGGCCAGAGTAATTGTACAAAATAAATGGATGTAACTAGATAATCATCAGACAAAACCCCACATAATCCATCCATTCCACAAAAGTCCACCAAAAAAGATCAGAGACATAAAAGAAAACTAATTTTTCTAAATCTGTGGTTTTTTGGACATGACCAATCTGAGACTCTTGGTGTATCAAGCAAACCCACCAAAGACTGTATTAATCACATACACCTGGAAACACCACAGCACATCATTGAAGTGTGGAAGTAAATATGTTTCAGAAATGTCACAGTTTTAATCTATAGATCTCCAAAAATAGGAAACACATCTTTAACCTTCTTTTAAGACAGATTCCTACTAATCTACATTTAATTTTATCATTGAAATATCGCTGTAATCTGTGCATTAATGACAAAAAACCTGTCTCAAACTTAAAAGAACTGGGGAAAAAAGGGGTGGTCAGCTGTGGATGATAATACCCACAGCTGCATTAGGATAAAAACATTTAGAAGCGATATTAAACCCGTGTGCTTGAGCACACAGGTTAAGCACTGGTAGATGAGGGTTAGGGCTCGTTTCCCCTCTGAGCAGGTCATGCCACAGGTTTCTAGCAGTGCCCAGAGCTGGGCCCTGCCAGGGCTGCCATGAGGCTGGTTTGCTTCGCCGGCAAAAATGGGGTAAAACCACTTCAGGTATCAATACTGCGAAAAGGGAGCAGTGATTATTGAGTTGAAAGGGGCTAGTCTGAACTATATTAAAAAAAAACCCAACACACTGAAACTTCTTTGCTGGATGTTAATGTAACTTAAATTATTTAAGATCTAATCATAACAGCCTGCTGGATCCTTGTTAGCTTGGAACTAGGATCTGTCATTTAATTAAACTTGTACCACAGGGCTGATGCTAAAATAAGAACTATAGTGTTGTGCTTGGGGAGGCTGTAGGAAGAAATGGGTTAATTTTACCCCTACTGAGCTTTCATGTATGGTTATTTCCCATTGGAGAGAACGGACTGAAATAATTTTAAAACATTTTTTGAAGTATTATTTTGTCGTGTAAGACCTACCATTCTATACCTTACCTCGGATTAAGATGGAAGTCTAGATACTTAACCATGTTGTTGCTTTATGAAGTTAAAAATTATAGTTTTTCTAGACGTGACAAGTCAAAATTTTTGCAGGAATTCCATCAACTGAACTTTAAGCTCTACTTTAGGTGAGGTTGGCAGATACGCTGGCCTTAACCTCCTTGCTGCTTGGGACTGCAGATAAACATCTGTTTGCCTTTTGCAACTTCTAATGTGTTGTTTTTAATGTAGATCTACCATAATTTCCATTTTGTGGTAACCTGATTTGGTTTTGGTACAATAACAGCAACAAATGGAAGTGATAATTTGCATCTGAAGCTGGAAATATGTTTTACAAAAACTGCTATGCAAAGGGTAGCACCTTTGCATGCTCAGTACCGTATCACATTAATCATATGGTACTCAGCGAACCTATTCTTACTCAGTCCTCCTACAGAAAATAGAGAAGTACATTTTTAGCAGGAAAAAACCTGTGAGTATCCTTGTGACAGTGTACAGATTTCTCAGGGCTTTCTGGAAGGAAACTTGGACTTCTGCCACCTGCTCCGATTGTGTTCATGCATAAATGATCCAGGGAATGGGTTGACATTACCTCTAATTAGGGGTAATAACAGCCTGCTACTGAAAGAGCCAGTTCCCTTTCTCTTGTGTGTGTGTCCCTCATTTCTCCTGTGTTAGGTCTAGTGTTTGTGCAGCCACAGGGTAAGTCAGTTCAGTGACCTGATCCAGCAGAAAACTCAACCATTAAGAAAAAATAGAAAACCGTTGGTTGGTTTGTTGTTTTTTTTTTTTTCATCAGGTCAATTGACTGAAGCTCTGTAACCATTTGATCTGCGTGATGTACAGGATGGCGAGGAGTGGGGTGAGATGAAGGCAGAGTGCAGGACTACACCCTTTTGGTGGCCTTCTGCAATTGCACTGATCAGAGGTAACATCAAACCACAGCTCTGAACTCCAGCATGATTTCAAAAGTCCCTGAAGCATTTCCAAGAGTTAATTAAGCATGACTGACTCTTTTTGTTTCAGCTAACTCTAGAGTGGCAGTATAGAGGTGTGTAATAATAAGTAATTAGAGTTGGGAATACAAGAGTTTATCCTGTTTAGTTTGTACCTCAGAATGGAGCTGTAAACTGGAACATAATGGGGGAAGAGGGTACACTGCGACAGCCCTGATGTTTTAGTTGCAGAAGGAGGCTTGGTCCTTAATTTATGTTCTTCTATGTAACAATCCAAATTTTTATTTCTGAAAGGAAAGGAAATAAGGCTTATTTTAAACCTACAATGCTGGGGGGCTTGGAAGCTTAAAATTACACATAGGTTTGGTTTGGAAAAGTGGATGGGATGAGATTTCTTTACTGATTCAGTAGGTCCTTTTCCGTACATTTCTTTGAATGAAATATGAACTCCGCAATACATCAGTGTGGAATACTGTTCTGTCTTTCAGAGCCCTTCCCAATAAACAGGAATAGGAGTAATGGACAGAAAGACACTCTTAAGTCCTTCTCAGCTGTATGTCTCTTGAAGCTTGGGTTTGGTGTTTTTTGGTTTTTTTTTTAGAGAAATCTGATTTTAGGGAACAGGTCAAGACCTAGGTATTATTTGTGCAGTAGTACTCACCCATGATGTTACAGTTCAACCATAATTTTGTGCAAGAAATAAAGAAACAAGAAATAGCGAACAGTCAATCTTGGTTATGTACATAAACATTTTTTCCTAGCTTAGGAGCAGCAATGCAAAATATTTTTTAAATGTGTGATTCCACAGAAACTAAATGACAAAGACTTAAATGTTTGCTTGAGATGTGGAGGATATTTTACATGACTGTGCTTTGATGGTTATCGTATCTCCCAAGTAAATGTGGTAATGAAATCACAATATGGTTGTTACTCATTCCTTTGCAATGTGGTGCTCAAACTTAGCTTGAGGCATCAGTGGAAGACACAGAAAATGCCGATTGTGCTGATGAGGTCTTTTGTTGTGTTTTGGTTTGGTTTTTTTTTTTTTTTTTAAGAATTAAAGCACACTGAACAAAGAGTAGGATTTTATAATGCTAACATGTTGGACTTTCACTCAAATGGATCCTGTACAATAGTAGCGTCACCCATAAAAGAGAAGAAAGGTGGCAAACACTCCATGGAGTCATTTATACAACAGCAAAGGTTTTTATGGAAAGACTAAGTTAAACTCATTCTTCTACAGAGGTGTTTTAATGCCCCTGTAGATAAAAATCTAGCCAGAAGTTGTTTATAACAAGGGGACGACTCCATTTATTTCCTGAGAAGGGAATGAGATGGGATCTATGTGTTAAGAAAAGGTAGTTTCAGGGAATGCCTTCGAGGACTTCAGATAGTTAAGATTTTTTTTTCTTGGATGCTTTAGCAATGGTTTTTTTTGTTGGTATAGACCGTTATCACCTTTCCTAGGAATAACTAAATAAACGACCTTGCAAAACAGAAAAAACGGGTGAAGAAAGGAACAGAGCAAAAATGTTAAAGACAATGTGCTGCCTTGCAAATAAGGTGGAAAATGTCAAGGCAATAATAGTCACCAAAGCTTTTGACTGCTAGTGGAACTAGCATTGCAGTGATTGAGCTAGTATGTGACCATCCACGTGCTTGTAAATAGTAAAAGTGTCCTTGTCCAGTAGTATTTCTACTGCTAAAATTGTATTTTGCTTACTAGAAAACAGTAGCAACGGGTTTCTTACACATCCCTTAATTCTCCAGACCCACGCGTTTGATGTGGCACAAGCACTGTATTAAGTCTCACCTTTTCAGAAATCATCTTCATGACTGTGCCATGTATTTGCTATGGAGTTCTGCTACATCCCTGATTTTTCCCTCTGTAAAACATAGGAAAAAAATTATGGTTTAAAGGGTTTGCATGAATGTGATAATAAAAAAATAAATCTTTCAACACTGACATACGTTATCTGTTGAAATGTTCTCCTTAATCAACTTTATCAACTGCCTGCTGATAAAAAAACCAGTTTATCAGCTCTGGGTGTACAAAATGGTTATGACAATTTTAGCTACGTGATAAACAGGTGTACCAGTTTTAACTGGAAGCGAGGGTGAGTGCTCAGACTGGTTTAGATCCATGGGACAGACGTAGATTAAATATTTAAGATTTTGAGGAGGGGAGGCCGAAGGATGTAGTTGAGAAATGGCCTCGCGGTCGTGTTCCGAGGGGATGGATCGGGGGGGCACCCCATCCCTTCCAGCCCCGAGCAAAGGGGCACCCACCGCCGGACAGGGATGTATGAAACTGAGAAATTACAAATTCCCGTCAACTACACTCCCAACCTGAGGCCGCTCACCTGCCCCGCTGCCGCAGCCGCCCGGAGGCCGCGCCCTGGGCTCCAGCCGGGCCTCGCAGCGGGGGTTGACCCTCGGCAGG